CCATCTGATGGCAGAGAGAGAATGTGAATGCAAGTGTTCTGAGGAGCAGGAAAGAAAAGTTTAAGTTCGTAATCTGATTTCATGTTCATTTATCACTTTTAGACAGATTATATCTATTGTGATTGATTTTTCTTGTGGGAAGAAAAATGGTTTTGCTTCAAATGTTTTTTATGGCTTTGAATTCCCTTTTTCAGCACAGGAAAAGAAAAATTCTTCTCGAACTGGCTCTTGCATTTCAATTGAACCATGCATGAATTTCATCAGAGAGAGAGAGAGAGAGGGAACAAGAGAGAGAGAAAGAGAGAAAACCCTTGAAAGCCACAGAACACTTACATTTTCCAGGGGAATGCTATCAGAGTTGTCCCCCTACTTAATATAAGAAAGATGACTTTCAAAATGAGAAAGAGGCAGAACTGTTCCTGGGACTTTGTTATGAATGCAATATTATAAGTACACAGGAAATTGAAAAATTAGAAAAATCAGAGAGCTAAATGGATGGAAAAGAGCGAAGGCAAGATTCTTTTTATAGGAAATTCTTGCCAGTTATTTTGGAGGATATATTGGTGTTTGGAGTGAGATGACTCATTTCATACTAAGATTTTGGGTAAAGCAGCTCTTTTCCTGGCCAACTCATATCTGACTCATTTACCACTAGTGAATAAGGGATAAAATGCTCCTGGCTAAGAACCATTTTAAGTATTTTTNTTGCTAGGAAAGTGTACTTTTAAAAGATTTGTAGTTTGCATTTGTTGGATATCTTTTTCAAAATGCTTCTACTTTGGAAAGTTCAGTGCAGTACTCAGGTTCATTCTTGGATACCAGTTCAAGTTCTGCTGAATATCAGGAAAAAGTTCTTTCTGGCAATCAAGACTTCAGGAAAATCAACTCAAGTTTTTAGGAACACATCTACATTCCAGATTTCCTGACCGTGTCTTTTTTTTCTTTCTTTTTTTTTTTTTTTAACTCAAAACGAAAACTGAAAGTTAGATTTTCAAATGTCAGTTTGACCTATTATAATATAAATCATGTTAGATTTTCTTAATACAATCTGCTGTGGTTGCTTATTTAATCATTTAATTTTTAAAGTTTGGCAACTTTTCTCATGAAAGAGATGGATTCAAGTCATCATGTAATACAGAAGCATGAGAAAACATATGATTCTGAGTCTGGCTGTTTTGTTTGTTGAGTAACTATCTTGTTCATGAGTATAAAAGTATAGTAATAAGCTGGGAAAATCTCAAGTATCTTCTGCCTTAGCTTTGAATGGCTATCCATAGCTCCAAGGACATTGATAATTCCATCTTCCTGAATCTGAAATTTATATGGAAATATAGAACAC